CCACAGAGGGCCAAAGGGGTGGTCTTGGCAAGAGCCCTTTCACCTTCAAAGCAAACATCTTGCAAGTACCTATACAAAATAACAGAATGCAGGATAAAAGGGCCATACCACTTATCCAATGATCAGATGTTTGTTATTTGAATTCTTTTAAATTTTTTTTTCCTGCATTATTCCACAAAGGATTACAGCTAAACTTAAATTATCAACCTAAATGACCTTATAGTATGTCTGTAAAAGAACAAATTCACACAAAGCGACTTAAGAACATATTCATCAACTTTCATTAGTTTGTCAAATGATTTCTTAAAGCATATTCATTAGCTTTTAGATATTTTATTAAGTTATTTCTTGAGAACTTATATGCCAGTGTTAAGCATCATATGAAAGATACAAAAGTAAGATAAGACTTCTTATCTACCTAAATTTGTCAGTGAGTAAGGGACAAGGACCGCTACAGAGCAAGAGATGCAGCAAGGAATGAAGTATGTCAGAGCAGGAAAGTCAAGGGCAGGAGGCCCTGCTGTCTTCAAGGCCACTGTGCAAGTTAGAGCAGAAGAGTTGTGACCAAGTGAACGTATCCAGTCAGCCAAGTGCAGGAACTGGGCCAGACTCCGGGAAACGAGGGGTGCCCAAGCCAGACTGCTCCTCCCCTCAAGAGTCCAGAGCCCTACAAACTAAACAACCCTGTAGACATGAGTGCAATAGATCCTGAGCCTGTCCTAGTGTCAACTGAGGGTGAGGACACAGAGTTGAGGAATGCAGCAGTGGGTGAGGGTGCTTGAGAGCTGAGGGGAGAGAGCAGGCTCAGTGACTGCAAGGCACTAAAGAGAGAGGGGCAGCTGAGAGACCCTGCAGGACCGAGAAGGTGGAGCTTCAGCACAACAACAAAGGCACTATGTAGGAATTCATTCGTCATTGGACATTTTTAGGAAGCATAGCAGAGTTTTGGTTGATCAAGACAGTGCCCTCATTTAAGGTTATAGCAAAAGGGATTGAGGAAAGAGGATGGATTTGGCATTTAAGAGGAAAGTATGATCATTGCTATCACCTGCACAGAACTCTTCCCTAGGTACTATCCGAGTACCCTGCATGGATAAACTCACTAATGCTCTGTCTGATTGGTCCATTCTATCCATGGGGAGACTGAGACATGGGGCCATTAAGTAACTTGCCAACATCTCAGGCCAGTACATATGAAAATCAGGATTTGACACCAAACAGCCTTGCTCACAAGTCCTCACTCTTTCCCTGCACTTGATGTCACAGATCAGGGGACAGGCCAGCAATCCCAGCTATCTTCCTCTTCTGGCAGAGTAGGATTCCAGGGGCACAGCACCTCTAGCCTGGAATGGGAAATTCTGACACTTTCCTGCCTCCTCAGAAGACAGGCGCTCAGTGATGCATAAGCCATGCTCTTGACTTTACAAAAAACATGTGCCCACTCCCCTTGTCCTACTTTCTGCCATTTCTGTGCTCATGAAATCCATGCTCACCGGAATTTTCCACATTGTGGTTAATAAAACAGAACAGAAATGGATCCTGTTCCAGCCTCCTCTCTGAACTCCTCCCAAGACTTGTAGGATGCTGCAGCCCTTGGGAAAACAGAGTCTTTAAAGGTCAAGCCCCACCACCCCCAGTGCTTTCTTGTTCCATAGGTATTGTGCCAGAAAAATCTTTGATATCCGTGTGAAGCATATCCCTGGGCCTGTCTTTTCTAAGTTTAAGTTCCAGTGTGGCTCTTCAAATTCCCTTTTAACCTCAGTATTTCAAAATTCATTCTAGTTTTCCTGTAGTAATTAACAAAAATAAATATGTTAAATTCAATTAAAATGAGAAGAATCAGGAAATGAGCTTCCCCAGAGGCCCTACCGGGGCGTGTGCTGATATTACTTCCTGTGGCGTATCTGCTTAGAGCCTGAGAGTTCATAAGTAATATCACAGACCTTATCTTTGATGGCTGGTTAAAATATAACTCTGCTGGGCACAGAGATGGCCTTTCAAACTGTCTGAGACTGTGGGACAGAGACCCATGAGTGGAGTTTTATCTAAGTTCAAATAGTCTAATCTCTTTGTCCCCAAATTGTCTCTGATTTAAGACCCTCTGGCTGATTAGCCAGAATATGTAAACAGTTCTTTCCTCTCCTTTCCCAAGCCTTCTCTGAAGACTGATGTTCTAAGAAAACCTCACACCATATTGAAGTTGTGCTGCTCCTTTAAATCCCTGAGCCTGAAGAGTGGGGCAGGGCTGGGGTGGAGCTCAGTTGGATTTATTAGATTCACACAATGACAGGACTTACTTTGTGGCACAGGGCCAAGGTGCGAGATTTTTGTTTTGTTTTGTTTCTGGTAGCCCAAACAGCTTTTGGCCCAGCAGACAAGTTTCACTCCAAGGCCCCGGCAGGGGTATAAAGGCCAAGGTCATGATGGTGGTCTTGGGAACTGAGGACTTGGTCGGTTCAACAGCATGCTTTGATTTCTAGAGTCCCTGGTCTCTACCAAGGTGGTCACATGTGTACCTGGACAGAAAGAGGATTCTGTTGGGGATGTGTTTGGGGTGGCTGGCACATGGTTAGTGCTTAAAGCTGTCAGCAAATGTTATTATTCAATCATTCATTTATTCAATCATTTTTTATTCCATAAATGGTTACAGTGTGTCCCAGATACCAAATCTTCTGTTAAGCATTTAAGGAGACAGAATGAAAACTAGTCCTGGAGGTTAAACTAGGCTGGAAATGCCTTCTGAAGTTCCCCTTTGAGTTTCATGAACAACACAAAATACATACACACACACAAGAAAAAAAAATTTAAAGAGAGCGGTAACAAAGCAGTTTACTAGTCCTCTGTATACGGCTATTACTATTACTTGCTGCTCTAGGTCTGTGCAACATCTATGCAATAGCTTCCACAGAGGAAAAATGAATGAAATAAATACAGGGTAGACAGAAAAGAGACAGCAAGGGGTAGAGAGAGAAAGAAAGGGGTAGAGAAGAAAGAGGGAAAGAGAACCAGTGAGCTAATACAGCCTGGAATGCAGAGGTTAGGTCTGTCCAGGCAAGCAGCCAAACATAATTAACCCTTTTGAAGAGTTCATCATATTTAATAAGCAGAGGTCTTATTCTTTTATAAGACACAGGGCTAGCAAAGCACAGACCATTGTCACCATCCCATAAATCAAAGGGGAGATTAAAGTGAGGAAGGAGCCAGCCTTTGAAGAGAGATCATAGCAAGAGTGACAGGAACAACAACAAAAAAAAGATGAGGTCTGTGTTTGGAAATGTTTCCTCAGCTCCGAGTCCTTCCCATTCTCTTTCCACACCCACTCCTAAGTAATAATTCCTAACTTGGAAGCATATTCCAGAGAAGAAGCTTCTACCTTCTTCTTGAGAAGACATGAGTCCTGTTCATCCTTATTATCTAGCACAGGGGACATCTTAGGAAGGGAAGCATTTACATTGAACAGCATCTTGACATTTAGGAGCTTTCCAGGTAATACAAAGGAGAAGGAGTAATCCAGGTGTACCTGAGGTATGGAAAGCAGTTGATTTTTTCCAAAAAGAGAAAAGCACTAAAGACCTCAAAACTAGCACCCAGAGAATAATTCCTGGTGCATCTTTGTGAGGTACTACTTTCAGAGGATGGCTGGTTTTGTCCTAGAAAGAATTTTTTAATTTTACTGTTCTGTCAGGTCAGTTAATAATTTCCCACTTAGGCTCTATACAAAAATACGAAGAATTTGCCAGAAAATGTAAGAAAACATTCTTGTCTACAGGTATTCCCTACAGCTGCTCTAAAGTGGAGATGCCTCCCTAACTACAAAACACCAGAGTAAAGCAGAGTTTGTTAAACCCATTCATTTCCATTTGGTGCACTTCAGCCAGCACTTCTGTGCTGAAGCACCAGCTCTGTGCTGAAGAGTTCATGATCATCAGCCAGAAAGGAAGGGGGAAATGCAGCCGACTCTTCTGGCTAAAGAGAAGGGAGGTGTATTTATGAGTAAGTGGGGGAGGCCGTGGAACAAGCAACATGAGATGTCTGCAGGCTTGACCACCTCCCAGCTTCTGCCTGCCAGTATGGCCCTGCACAGGGAAGGTGGGCTGCCAACCTCACAACAGACTGGAGCTCAGTGAGGCCCAAAGGAGCTTGGCTCTGCTGGGCAGTTGTCAAACAAGAAATAGAAGCCAGAAGTAGCCCCCATCTGCCAGCAAGCATAGAGGTGCATAAAACAAGGACACCAGAAGGCTCATGAGTAAGGACAGTAGTTGAGGGATAATGTCTCTAGAATTCACTTTGTGTTGGGTGCTATGCTAGATGCATTGCAAGTATTACTATTTTTTTTTTTAGCAGTGATTCTGACTGTAAAAGAATTGTGGAGGCAGCCAAGGAATTAGTAGGGAATAGTACCTTGCAGAAGAATATTCAATACCCATGTGGTTTCAATTTAAAATCAAATAAACCTGGATGAAAATTTTTTCACTGGCAGATTGTATATGATAGTTCAGGAAAGCATGAGAAAAGCCTGGCTTAAATCCATCCAGAAACTCTGCTTTGCCCCAGCCTGTTGAGGTTGGCATCTTCTTCCTTGCTGTGAAGATAAGCTGCATGCAGGGAAGGTAAAGCCTGGCAGATGGAATGGTTGGCAAGTTCCAGAGCAAGTGCCAAGACCCATTCTCCACCTGACAGCTGAGCTTGCGCTCAGTCACTGGCCTCTTCTATTTGTAACTTGAGTGATCAGATGGAGAAAAAGTAATAATCTGCAGCTAGTTAAAACTTTCTTTTCTTGACTTTTCATTTATTCAATAGATAGCTTCTAACGTTTACCAGCCACAAGTATCTGTGTCCAGCATTCAGAAGTAGGAAGACAGACTCAAACCCAGTCCCTGGCATCAAGAAGTGTGGCATGACCTTGACATTAAGTTCAGATGCATGAGGACCATCTTCCCATTACACTGGTCGTCTCATAAACAATTCACTCTCTCACTGCAGAATCCCTTGTGTTTCAGGGCATGAACTACCTGGAAGACCGGCGCTTGGTGCATCGTGACCTGGCAGCCAGGAACGTCCTAGTGAAGACACCACAGCATGTCAAGATCACAGATTTTGGACTGGCCAAACTGCTTGGGGCTGAGGAGAAAGAATACCATGCAGAGGGAGGAAAGGTAAGGAACTGACCTGTAGATCAGGGAGCATTTTCCTGACAACAGAGACTGGGATCTCGACTGATATAGGGGATATTTGCAAACATTCTGGGTGAGGTCTCAGCACAACCACAGGCAACTGAGTCTAGCCTGGGTCTTCTGCTTTGGGAGTGGGGTTTGCCTGCAGAGGGAACAAAGATATTTCTGACATGGTCAGAGGATATAGTCATCAATATCTCCAGGCGATCATTAACAAAGGTTAGTTCTCAACCGCTCCCTTCAGGACTTAAGCACCCTTCAAAAGAACAGCTGGGAAATGCCACAGCTAATTTGGTGGCACACTGCTGTTGAGAATGTCTCAGAAGTATAAAAAGCTGTCCTCCCTATGTTCTTGTGAGAACTCCCATGGATCTCTGTGACTTATGCATAGAACTGGCCTTGAGTATACGCTCCTTGCTCTCCTTCTGGCTTAGGATGGATTGTCACAACATTGAGAGATACATGTTCTCACACAGGTCCCTCTCCTAGGGGGGACACATATAGCCACACCTCAGCTATATTAGCTGTACCTTTCTTGAGTTTCACCCTGACCTGCATAACTCCAGGCAGTCATCAACCTTGTGACATTGGTCCCTGAAAATGCACCCAAATGCTGAGTAGCTATGATCACTGTCCACTACCAGGGTCCCCAGCTTTCCAGAATTGCCAGTGGCGCAAAAGGTCCTTCGCTGTAGCATTCCTAAAGCCAGCTCTGGGGGTTACCAGAGCAACCCTGTTCATTGGTGGATTTAAAATCTCTTCTTGCTGGGAGGCAGCCTTTGGCTTGAAGTCCCAATCAGGAAAGGTAGCCTGGCTTCTCCACTTAGTCATTTGTAATTACTTCTAGTGTGATTTAATTTTGTTTAACAGAGAGAAGCTAATAGTAGTCTTAATGCTTTATCTCTCATTATCTGAAGGTGCCTATCAAGTGGATGGCTTTGGAATCAATTTTACACCGAATTTATACCCACCAAAGTGATGTCTGGAGCTATGGTGAGTCAAAATCCTGATGCTAATGAATTTGTGCTAAGGCTAAGCCGGGTTTTGTTGTTTGTTAGTTTACAGTATAAGCTCTGACATGCAAGTGTTTTCTTTTAAGATAATGACTAACAATAACATGATGGTTGTTCTCTATTATACTGAGAAAATCCAACAAAGGAAATTTAGTCTACTGGGATAAATGTAACTACAGAAATCAATAAATTCATGTGGCAGAGAGAGGGTCATAGGAGGGGCAAAGAACTGGAACTTAGAACATGCCTGTACCTATGAAGTCAAAACAAAAGTGACATCATGCTGTGAATTCGGGGGGGTTTCCCACATTTTGGGGGAGGGGCATGGGAGATTGAACTCAGAAGCATTCAACCACTAAGCCACATCCCCAGCCCTATTTTGTATTTTATTTAGAGACAGAGTATCACTGATTTGCTTAGTGCTTCACTGTTGTTGAGCTGTCTTTGAACTTGGGATCCTCCTGCCTCAGTCTCCCAAGCCACTTGATTACAGGCATGCGCCACTGTATCCAGCTTTTCCCACATTTTTATTAGTGCATTTAGTTGGACATGGTGGGATCTGTTTTTACATATTCATACCATATACAAATATGTTGTAATTTGGCCAATATCAATTCCCAGCACTTGCTCCTGCCTTCCCTACCTTTTACTTCTTGGTCCCTCTCCTCTACTGGTCTCCCTTTGATTTTTAGGAGATCCACTCCCACCTTTCTTTTCCCGTTTACTCTCTAGCTTTCATATATGAAAAAAAGCATGCAATCCTGGACTTCCTGCATTTGACTTATTTCACTTAACATGGTGGTTTTAGTTCCATCCATTTTCCTGCAAATGCCATAATTACATTTTCCTTTATGTATGAATAAAATTCCACTGTTTATATATACCACATTGTCTTTATCCATTCATCCATTGATGGACACCTAGGTGGGTTCCATAGTTTGGCTACTATGAATTGCGCTGCCATAAACATGAATATGCATGTATCACTGTAGTAAGATGCTTTAATTCTTCAGAGTAAATACCAAAATGTGATATAGCTGGTTCGTATGGTTGTTCCATGCCTGGTCTTTTAAGGAATCTCCATACAGATTTCCATAGTGGTTGTGTTGATTTACAGTCCCACCAGCAGGGTAAAAGTATTCCTTTGTCTGCATATCCTCTCCAGCACTTATTATTTTTTATATTCTTTTTTTTCAGATCTAGTATTTTATTTTATTTTTTTTAAATTTTTTATTGTTGGTTGTTCAAAACATTACATAGTTCTTGACATATCATATTTCACACTTTGATTCAAGTGGGTTATGAACTCCCATTTTTACCCCGTATACAGATTGCAGAATCATATCAGTTACACATCCTGCCATTATGATTGATATGAGATGAAATCTCCCTGTAGTTTTGATTTGCATTTCCCCAGTGGCTAATGATGTTGAACATTTTTTTCACGTACTGTTAGCCATTTGTATTTCTTCTTTTGATAGTTTGTTTACTTCATTTGCCCATTTATTAATTGGGTCATTTGGGTTTTTTGGTGTAAAATTTTTGAGCTCTTTATGTATTGTAGATATTAATCCTCTATCAGAAGAGTAGCTAGCAAAGATTTTTCTCCCATTCTGTAGGTTCTCTCTTCGCATTCCTAATTTTTTCTTTGTTGTGCAGAAGCTTTTTAAATTTGATGCCATTTTACTTATTAACTCTTGGCATTTTACTGAGCTTTAGGGGTGCTGTTTAGGGTGTTCATTGCCTGTGCCTAAAAGCTGGAGTGTCGACCCTCATTTTCTTCTATGAGTAGCATAGTTTCTGGTATAATTCTGAGGGTTTTGATCCATTTTGAGTTTGATTTTTGTGCAAAGTAAGAGATAGGGTTTAGTTTCATTCTTCTAAATATAGATAACCAGTTATCACTTTTTAAGCATTTGTTTAAAAGGCTGTCTTTTCTCAATGTATATTTTTGGCACCTTTGTCAAGGAACAGACGACTGTAGATATATGGGTTTTTCTCTGTCCTCTCTTCTGCACTATTGATCCATGTGTCGCTTTTATCATGCAGTTTTTGTAACTATAACTCTGTACTATAATTTGATATAATTATTTTTTAATATTTCATTTTATTTCTATGTGTTGCTGAGCATCGAACCTAGTGCCTCTTGCATGCTGGGCGAGTGTTCCACCACTGAGCCACAACCCCAGCCCAAATTTAATATAATTTGAAGTCAGGCATTCTGATACCTCTGGCATTGTTCTCTTTTTTTAAAATATAATATATTTTTTAGTTGTGGATGAACCTTTATTTTTATTTACTTATTTTTATGTGGTGCTGAGAATCTAACCCATCGCATGCGCTCTACCACTGAGCCACAACCCCACCCTCATCTGGCATTGCTCTTTGGGCTCAAAATTGCTTTGGCTATTGTGTCTTTTATTCTTCCAAATGAATTTTAGAACAGTTTTTTCTATTCTGTGAAGAATACCATTGGTATTTTGATGGGGATTGCGTTGAATCTGTATATTGCTTTTGGTAGTACTCATGCCATAAATTCGAAGTGAACAAACAACGAAAGGCAACAAACAAGGTTTCATGGGGAAGGGTTTCTCAGTAGAGAAATAAGCTTTTCTGATGAACTGACTCTGTGGCTTTTATTTCATGTAGTGAACGGTGGTCTTTTCATATCTGAGAGGATGGCTCCACAAACATGTACATGAGGATGTCTATGGGCAGAAAAAAAAAAGAGGGGGGGGGGCATAGTTACTGCTTCTCCCTCTGGTGAGAACCATCTCCCAGGACCTGATTCTGTTTCCTTCTCTGAATCCCAGTGTAGCCATGCCAGGCCCTGCTCCATCCACACAGGTACTACCTCTTCCCAAACCTGCCTTTTATGTTCTTACTTTGTCCTGAGGCTATGAGGGCCCTTACCTGTTAAGAAATGGTCATCACTGACCCATGTCATTGGCAGCTGTATCAAGCACCAGTCATCTGTTATCACACTTGGTCCTCAAGTTTCACCCAGCAATCCACAGAAAGGCCAGAAAACACCTTATTATCTACCTTTATTTATAAAGGGCCAGATACACCCAGCTATTTACAGCAACAGGGTGGAAGGAAAGAATCTCCCACCTCTATTGAAATATAAATTTGGGGAGAGTGAGAGTGAGATAAATTTCCAAAGAAAACTTAGTCATTATCACAAAAGCAAAATAATTCAGATTATTAATTTTTCTTTTAGCAATTTTTCTTTTCCTATAGTGTTATTAACTTGATGATTTCCAAATATGTAATTTTTTTCTCTTTATAATTTCATGAGTATCTTTTCTGCTAGAATGGAAGCTTTTCAAAGGCAGAGATGTTTGTCCATGAATGGATAAGTGAATTTTGTTATGTACTCATAAGCTGAGTTTCCTCAATTAGTGAAATAGAAAAGGAAATAAGGCTCTCCTCATACCTTGTTGCTTTAAGCACTTTTCAAGATATGTCTTCTCCCCAAGAGGCAACCCCTGGGTCCTGGCCCTGATCATTCCACCATCCCCCTATGAATCTGGCCCCTGCTTTCCTCAGGGAAATCACAGAAGTAGCTCTTGTTTGTCTTCTCTCTGCACATTTTAAACCCTCGCCTCTCCTCTTTTTAGCTGTGTCAGGCTTCTACTTGTCTGTTTATCATCCTTCTTTGCTTTTCAAAATAAAATCTGAACTCCTAACCATAGTCCACCAGATCATAAATGATCTAGACCTCAGTTTTGCCTGTCCCACACAGCCATGGTATATGCTTGCCCTCTAGTATGTGCCAACTCAGTCCCATTTGGACCACACTTGTCACATAAATGAGAACTCTCTTGAATTCAGCCACTTAGTGTCTTCCAGTGATCACAAGTAGTATCAAAAAGTCAAAGCAATCATGCATCTTTAATTGTGTGATTATAATCTGCTGTCACTGGCAGTACACAGGAGATATTAGACCATGAACCTGAGTTTTCAGTTTAAAAACCATATTCAGGGGCTGGGATGTGGCTCAAGTGGTAGCGTGCTCACCTGGCATGTGTGAGGCACTGGGTTCAATCCTCAGCACCACATAAAAATAAAATAAAGATATTGAGTCCAGCTAAAAACAAAAAATAAAAATACTAAAAAAAATATTCAGTCACTCTACTCTTTAGTCTCTAGTTAAAGCAAAATATTCATTTTAATAAATGTGGGGCATAGTGTGTTTTATTAAGGAGTTAAAGAGAGGGAATTCACATAGCCTCCTGTTCTTCATGATCTACCACCCATTACCCCACTCCCGAACCTTATCAATTGTTCTCAAACCTAAAAACTGGCCTTCCCACAAGAATTCATTGTGCATGTTTAAAATCACAGTTAAATGGGAATTGATGGGACAGTTTGAGAATCTTTTATCTGAAATTCTTGGGACAAGAAGTGTTTCAGATTTGGGGGCTTTTTAAATTGGGGGATTTTAAAAAAATATTTTTTAGTTGTTGATAGAACTTTATTTTATTTATTTATATGTGGTGCTCAGAATCAAACCCAGTACCTCACACATGCCAGGCAAGTGCTCTATCGCTGAGCCCCAGCCCCAGCCCCAAATTTGGGAATATTTACATAGACTTCACCAGTGGAGCGTCCTTAATCTGAAAATCCAAAATCACTGAAATGCTCCAAAATCCAAAATTTCCGAGTGTTATGTCAGTACTCAAAACATTTCAGATTTCAGAGAAGTTGGCTTTTGAATTTTTGATGTTTAACCTCAATATCTTCGGAGAACAAGTCTGGAAAAAAATGGGTCATTAGACTAACTGGAGGCTAGGACACACTGCCAGGGTCCTGTGGCTGTTTAGAACCCAGAGCTCATCTGAGAACACTGACTCCAAAATTGACACTGCTTCAGTTTGTTTTAATCATGATTGTTGATTGGCTTTGAAACAGAAATCATGTTGTTTTTGGGTTTATCAAAAGGAGTATAAGGCTGGGGTTGTAGCTCAGTGATAGAGTGCTTGCCTAGCATGTGTAGGGCACTGGGTTTCATCCTTAGCACCACATATAAATAAATAAATAAAATAAAGGTATTATGTCCATCTACAACTAAAAATATTTCTTTAAAAAAAGGAGTATAGGCTTTTCTGTTTGTTTTTTTTTTATTATTATTTAGAAATGTGCAGTTTACAACCTTGTTCAGAATCTCCATCTTTAGAGTTCCACAGGTACAAGGTTCGGGGGTAGATGTGTGAGTGTGTGACTCCTGCTCCCCAGCAGGATCATTCTTGTGCAGCCAGAGTCATCATTGTCGTCTTCAGTGTGTTTACTGAGGCTTATTTACCATTCATCACTCAGTTACTATTTGCAAGCATTGTGCTAAACATTTCAGTTATATGTCTTACTTGATCCTCCTGACCATCTTATGAGACTAATGCCATTATTATCCCACTTGATATACAGGTAAACTGAAGCTTCCAGCAGTTAAGCAAATTGCCCAAAGCTATTGAAACCTAAGTTTTTCAACCCTGAGAAACAGTAAGCAACAATGACAATTGAAGACAACTAGATGTTATGATTATTTTTGACTCACAATGCGACTGCTTTCTTTTTTCATCTGCTCAGGAGTCACTGTTTGGGAGTTGATGACTTTTGGGTCCAAGCCTTATGATGGAATCCCTGCAAGTGAGATCTCATCCATCCTAGAAAAAGGAGAGCGCCTTCCACAGCCTCCCATCTGCACCATTGATGTCTACATGATCATGGTCAAGTGTGAGTGACCAGGGTGACCATCCATACTCCATAGCTGAACCTGGGCACTTAGAGCACCTGCTGCTCTTGGCCAAATAGCTCAGGCCTTATATTTCCTGAAAAAAATGTTATCACATTCTTTGAGGCAGGCATCCAAGTCCAGAAACATCTGTAAAACATTCTTCAAAAAACACTTCTTTGGGTCTGAGGTTGTGGCTCAGTGGTAGAGCACTTGCCTAGCATGTGTGAGGCACTGGGTTCAATTCTCAGCACCACATATAAATTAATAAATAAATAAAGGTCCAACAACAACTAAAAACAAACAAACAAACAAACAAAACACACTTCTTTGACTCAGTGAGCAGTGTGACCTGACATATGTTTGCAAGCAAATAAATAAAATGGAAGACTTCCATAAGCCATTATAGCAAAATACTCCTTTCCCTAAGTTGCTCAATGAAATGCAGAGCTGCCCAGCATTTTGAAGCCTGTTACCAGAGAGACTGCATGTTTTTAAATGCTTAACAATGAGTAATCACATAAGGCTGATAGAATCAACATTTCTGCATTAGATTAAATCTTTGAAACAGCAGATTTATGTGAGGTCTTCTGTCTATAGCATTTAAACATCTTAATAGAAATAAGAGTGTGTGATTTGATTGGTGCTATTATTCTACCAGAATCACAAGTGAACTGGGCTCTGAAGGTAACATCACATGTGTGATAAGCATTTGCATAAGCGGAGGTCCAGGGAATACGAGGAAGACAAGATAATGTAAATATTAATGCCTTTCTGAACTTCAGACCACAGAGTTAACCTATTTTCACCGCCTCAGTTTGGGCTGAGGAAGCAGGAACACAGAGAGGTCACATAATTTGTCTAAGGTCACATAGCAGTCTGACCTAAAAATAGCTTGACATCCTGCTAATGGAAAATAAATATGAACCCTCAAGAGGCATGAGGATTTCCAAGTCCACAGCCTTGCCTCCAGCTTTCTGAATCTAGATTTAGATAGTTGCATAATCCAGTGCACCAGTGTGATTGCCAAAAGCATGCTCCTATGGAGGGCACTGGCATGGGCAGAGCCCTGGGTGTGATCCTCAGCACTGGAAAAAATATAAATTATCAACAGAAAGGCACTGAGACAACCAGTCCTGTCCCTTGCATGAATGGTGACTGAGTGTGGAATATAATGAAAGCTTCAGGGTGGAGAAGTCTCAACTCTAAGTTCTGAAAAGCCTTGTTATATCTCTGAATTGAAAAACTACTGAGAGTGACTGTTGAGTCAGTACTTAGTCAAGACACACAGGCACCCTACTGTCAGAGTAGGTCATAGATAGCAATTGCACACCGCAATGCTTTTCCATCACTGAAGGTGATAATACAAGAATGCTGAACCTAGGAACAACAGATGTATAAAAATTAGAGGATGATATTGTTATTCCAATTCAAAATATGGTGTTATCATGCTCTTTAAATGGTAACTAGTGCTAGCATGCCAAGACTGAAAAGTCTATCACAGAGATTAGGTTTCTTCATAATTTATTTGTCTAACAGGACAAATGACTATAAATGCTTTCTTTAAGCAGAGCCATCTTTAGCATTTCTTCCAGAATTCTAATTGCCATCTTTCTTCATTGTTACTTAGGCTGGATGATAGATGCAGACAGTCGCCCAAAGTTCCGGGAGTTGATCGTGGAATTCTCCAAAATGGCTCGAGATCCCCAGCGCTATCTTGTCATACAGGTACTAAGACCACAGTTTGCACTTCCCTTGATAAAAGTTCCTCGGATGAGCATCACATGTCACTGTGCCAGTATGGCCTGTTTCTGGGTTGTGTTATTAAATCCTCCTGAACAGTAGAAGAGCAAGCCTTGGTCACAGCACAGACTGAAGTTAGCAAGGTTCTATGGTGGTTTCCATCCAACTCCATGTCACCATCCCATCTGAACTTTCCCACTCAGACACAGTCTTTCTCTCAGTTCCTTGTGTAATCTCACATTTCCATTCACCAAAGCCCTATCTTGGTTCAGTAGAGAAGCAGGACTTTGTAGTCAGGCAAATCTGGTTTCAGATCCCTGTGTCGACGCTTGCCCTATGTCATCTCCAACACCTCCTTACCTAACATGGGAATAGCAAAACCAAGCTGACAGGATTATTTTAAAGATTCATCAAAATAACATGCAAAATACATTGCACACACTTAACAGCGTAGTATACTCTCAATAAATGCTGCTACTGCTTCCCTTTCTCTTCTCTTCTAAGTTGATTGCATTTCCTATGCATTTTATGATGTGCAAGGAGTAATGTTTTATTCTAAGGTGCACATACATAGTTGGAGGGGTAACAGTTATACTTCAGAAAACTGCAAGATTTATATTAATACCCAATTGGCCAATATACAGGCACCTGCTAACAATGGACCCCTATTCCTGTAGCCAGGAAGTAGACTAGCATCTCTATGGCCCTTTTTAAAAATTTTTTATTTGTTCTTTTTAGGTACACATGATATTTAGAATGTATTCAGATATATTATACATACCTGGAGTATAAGTTCTGATTCTGTGGTTGTACATGATGTGGAGTTTCACTGGTTGTGTATTCATATATGAACATAGGAAAGTTATGTCTGATTCATTCTACTGTCTTTCTATTCCCATCCTCCTCCCTTCCCTTCATTCTCCTTCACCTAATCCAATGAACTTTTGTTCTTCCCCCCCACCCCCTATTGTATGTGAGCATCTGCATATCAGAAAGAATATTTGGCCTTTGATTTTTTGGCTTATTTCACTTAGCGTAATATTCTCCAGTTCCATCCATTTATGGGGAAATGCCATAATTTCATTTTTCTATGGCCATTTTTAATGGTCTCAAAATTTCTACACCAGGGGGATGAAAGAATGCATTTGCCAAGCCCTACAGACTCCAATTTTTATCGTGCCCTGATGGATGAAGATGACATGGAAGATGTGGTGGATGCTGATGAGTACCTCATTCCACAGCAGGGCTTCTTCAACAGCCCATCTACATCTCGGACTCCCCTCTTAAGTTCTCTGGTATGAATCAATCTCTCTCTCTCTCTCTCTCTCTCTCTCTCTCTCTCTCTCTCTCTCTCAGTTTGAACAAATTGAGTTTGAGAGAAAATGACAACCATCTAGTAGTACTCACATCAAGAAAAAGGAGAAAATTTTGACCAAATGGTAAAGCCCAAATCAATCAAGTAAGTTTAAGTATCATCAAGTCATTGTTATTGCATTGCAACATTGATTGTAATCATTGATGGTGATCATTTTGGGTTTGCTGTGGAACAGAATGAAATCAAACCAACCCTACTTTTTCTAAGGCTAATGATTCAAGACAAAATAAAGCACTTTCAAACGTATCCACTCCCCTGAATTCAGTGAGAATGTACAAGTGTACCAAGAGAAACATCTCTGTTTCTTTTTCAGAGTGCAACCAGCAACAATTCCACTGTGGCTTGCATTAACAGAAATGGGGTATGTACAAACACTTGATGACATGAATTAAAATACAGCTCTGAACCACTGTTCTATTACACCTGGAAAATGCTCATCTTAACCCAGATTTCTTTCTGTCTGTTTTCCACCCAGTATAGTTTCCTAGACCCTTACCATAGAGACAGCAACTAGCTGTTACATATCACAGTGCAATTCAAAAATGTGGTTTGTGGACAAGCAGCATCAGAACCACCTGAAACATTGTCAGAAATGTGAATTCTTGGGATACCACCCAGACCTATTCAAACAGGACCTCTCAATTTGGAGCCTAATAATGTATGATTCACCTAGCCTTCTGAGTAATGCTGGTGTGTGATCAAATATGAAGCCTGAATCTAGACATGCACAGTATATAGTACAGATGCCATTAACCACATGTGGCTACTTAAATTTTAAATAATTAAAATAAAATAAAATATAAAATCCAGTTCTTCACACATTCAAAATGTTCAGTAGCCACATGTGGCTAGCAGCTACTATTCTCAAAGAACACATATGACAGGTCCTCTCCATCATGATGGAAAGTTGTGTTGGACAGAACTCTTGATCAGGACTTCACTGCTTGTCCTGAGATCTATGGCCCAATAGCACGGGCATGACCTGAGGGCATCTCAGAAATCCATGCTCTCAGGCCCTGCCCCAGACCCACCGGATTGGAATCAGTAAATTAATAGGATCTCGGATAATATATCCATAGTGAAATTTGAGTAATACTGATTATGGTAACCTTGCCTAACTTGCTCTCCAGCAGAGTTGTCCCACAAAGGAGGACAGCTTCTTGCAGCGGTACAGCTCAGACCCAACTGGCGCCTTGACAGAAGACAGCATAGATGATACATTCCTCCCAGCACCTGGTAAGTGGCTTGCTCAGGAAACAGTCATGCATACCAGCCTTCTCAGCCCCAATCAGCAGTGCCTGGTCCTTATTCCCTGGAACCTTTCTAACTGATCCAGAGGCAGAGACTATGGCAAATTTGTAGATAGAATGAAGGGAGTAAGAAGCAGATAAATACAAAGTGACCAAACATGTACAACATGTACAAGTTCTTTGTGTTGCATTTAAATTGTCTCTGTTTTTTTTTTTTTTTTTTTTTTTTTGGTTTTTTTTTGCTGCAGGTTTGCTTTAGAAATGAATCTACAGATTTTGTAGAGTTTGAAGCAAATAGCAATATTATCCACGTGTGTGTGTGTGTGTGTGAGATACATATATTTTCTTTTCTCCTGGCTCCATTCCTAACTATGAAACATGTGTCTTCCTAAGCTTTAGCTGCAGACATTCACACTGTGTGCACAATTCACACACACATACACAAATGAAGGCAAGCTATCCTCTGAGAATTTTAAATTTACAAAAGATACATGTGTGCATTGCTTCAAGTACAGAAATGAACACAGTTTATTTTACAGTAGCTTCTTACCTTCTGTGATCGGTTGCCTCATTGAAGAGATTCACAGGGTTCACAATGAGCCATGGAATCCTGCTTTGTTATCTTGGAATGATGCTTTTCTCATTATTTCATTTCTCATTATTTCACTTTTTTTTTCTGTTTCAGAATATATAAACCAGTCTATTCCTAAGAGGCCTGCAGGATCTGTGCAGAACCCCGTCTATCACAATCAACCCTTGCATCCAGCAGCTGGCAGAGACCCACACTACCAAAATCCCCACAGTAACGCCGTGGGCAACCCTGAATATCTCAACACCACCCAGCCTATTTGTGTCAACAGTGCATTTGACAGCTCTGCCCACTGGGCCCAGAAAGGCAACCACCAAATTAGTCTGGACAACCCTGACTACCAACAGGACTTCTTGCCCAAGGAATCCAAGCCAAATGGCATCTTTAAGGGTCCCACAGCTGAAAATGCAGAATACCTACGAGTAGCACCACCAAGCAGTGAATTTATTGGAGCATGACCATGGAAGGTAGCATCAGCCATAAAGATTCTAGACTCTTCAGAAACCCAGGACCAAGCCACGGCAGCTACTTCACTCCTGATAGCCATGCCTTTGTTAACTCTCAGACTCATTTTACCACTGAGCTCTGATCAGCTCCTTTCAACCAGGAAGTGCCCCATCCTTGGATGCACTTTAGGAAGTTGTAGGCTCATTACTTGATCATCAAACTGTGAAGCTTCCACAAAAAGGCATCCAGGAAGAAAGCTGTCCATTTGAGCTGAAGTTTAACTTTCAGTGAGGTATATTAGAAATATAAATAAAAAAATATATAAGGACTTTTACTGCTTGGGGGTCTTGGGGATTTTTAATTGTCACTATAATTATGATTTAATGGGCTCTTCCAAGGACAAAGAAACTTGCTTGTAGCTCTTGCTACACTGAGTTGATCCAGGCCCAACTGTGACCAAGAAGCATAGGCTACAAGTCTTCCAACTAGCACTTGATTCCACTGGCTCTGCTTCAAGACTCTTCCATTGCAAGACAACTAAATATACAAGGAATCCTGCATGTCCTAAGCAGGCCAGATTGATTACTGAATCAAATCAAAGCAGGTACAATAGGATAAGCCACTTTGTTCTTTCCTGGGTGAAGAAGAATTGAAGGGGTTGAATTCTCCTTCAGACTTACTTTTGTATAAATGTTTCCATGGTACTACTCCCCATTAGATTACCAGTATTTTCTAATTATAAGTATTAGACTTGTTTATTTTCCATTCAATTGTTTTGAAACTTAATATGCTTTCCCTGTCTTGATGTCGTGACATCAGCAAAAGAAGATGGTACATCAAAGAATAACTAAGAGTTTGTATTTGGTCCATCAATGTTCAGACCAATAGCCTTTATTTAAGATGTAACAACACCCGCAAGAGTACACAAAGGACCATGGTCCCCAAATGTGAGTCTCAGATGAAATGCATTAGGTCTTTGGGGGGATTGTCATGAAACTACAAAAATGATACTGCTCTTAAAACTCATTTCACCTTCACGATTCTTCACACACAGAAAAAAAAAAAAACTTGTAGAAGATAATCTTTTTTATTTCATTTCATTTTAAAAGTTTTTTCATTTGTTTGGCTTTTTACTGGAAGGGTATGTGCCCCTGCCTGCTAAGCTACCCCCCAAACCCCTCCTGGCCCTTCATGAAAGAATATCTAGGCCCTGAGTCTACTATGCAAGAACAAGCACCCAGAATAGGCACATTGTACAGGTGCAGAGAAAGAGAACATTATAAGTAGAGTGGAATTCAAGTGGCAAATGTGAAATTAGAGTTTGAAATTGATAAGGGTGTTTTCATATCTTTAGATGTTTTAAGGGGGGAGAAATTCATCCTAAAATAATGCCCCTATAATTGGACTATCCAACTAGTTAGGATACCAACATTTTTCCCCTAATTTTCTTATCTTTGCAACCTAATTGGTTAAGGGCAATCCTTTAATGTTTTAAACCCTCATTGTCAACATTTTCTCCTTCCAGCTCATCAAGGAAGAAATCCCTATTTTAAGAAGTCCACAATATAGTAAGGGAAGTGGACTTATGAATACTACCCTTATAGCAATATGATAAATATTGTATATCAGCTAAATACCAAGAGCACAGAGCAGGCATGAGTGAATTCCTCCTGGGGAGACCCAGAAGGTACATCAAGGAGGTGATATTGCAGCTGGGCCTCTAACATGACCAAAGTCCAAGCTACAAGGGAAATGAAAAGTATACTCCCAGCAGAGGGAATCTCAACCAAGAACACATTGCTGGAGAAATTTACAGATGAAGTAGGTTTAAAGGCAATTTCAGTCATCTTGACGTGCTGCTCCTTTAAGCTGGAACTAGGTTTGCAGCATTCCCCAGGTTCCCTAAATGTCCCCTTCTCTTCTGGGCTACCATCTCTCAAAATGATTAGTGAGAAGATTAAGGAACATTCTAAGAATCTGAGATGTGCCATTATCATAAAACTACTTTCATTATCTATTCACCTCAGTACTCATAATGGAAAGAAAATCCTTAGTCAATGTGTATGCAGACATGGGAAACAGAATGACTCACTTTCTGCTGTCACTTATTTGTCAAGAAGCAGATGATTTGTGAGCAAGAGCAATCTTAAGCCAGTTGAATTGTAGCAATGAAATTCTACTATTTTTGTACTTTGGAATACTTTCCTATAACAAAATAAACTACAAAAACTATTCAAATTTGCTTTTCTTCTCTTTGTACTTCAATTTTTCCTGCATAAAATTTTATTTCTATTTATTCTAAGATTGTGTTTCCCAAAATGTTCTGTGTCTATTCAGGGAGATATTCAGGCTATGAGAATTGCAGAGTCAGAGCCCTGTTAAGGACCCCTGTGCCATTACTGGAGAGGAGCTACCTGGGTTCTCATTATTTCCATATCACAGCATTGACAGGTCTAATCTCAAAATTCCCTTCCATTCTTCCTCATTGATAATCAGTCCCTAATATATTCCTGAGCATCTGTCTGCTAATTCTTCCTCATACAGTTCCTGGAAGGCCTCTGCCTGTGGCCTTAGCCTCAGATCTGGCCTTTAGAAACAGAGTTCAGAGGAAAGTAAGAGTCGGGAACTAACATTTACAACACGTCACAAATTTTGCATACATCTTTTCACAATGTGTAAGAAGTCTCTATCATTGCATACTATGAAAAATACTTACCACCTCGTGATTTTAAAAAGGATGAATCTTTCAAACTCTAAATTTGTTGAGAGTCCAGTTGCCACTGTTTTCTATAGGTAGGAGCCTAATGGAGGCACTATATTGCGTTCCAGCAGAAGATGAGAAAGCATAGGTATTTGTTGCAAGTTATTAAGTTTGTTTTAGACCCTCCACCCAAGCTGCAGACATTGAAGAACCATGGATTATGTAAGTACAAAAAGAGTTTGTCCCAGGCTGGGATGCCCTTTGGAATTCTTGGTTCCAATCAAAGGATTCTGATTTGTTTTTTTTCTCAGGTGCAGCCAAAATCATGAACTCTTCAGGGTATTCCCCCAGGTTATCCCATTGTGCACCAAATTTTCATGCACCAAAGATTTCAGAATCACTTGTGTAAATGAAATGTCTGAGAGGGCAAGCCTTGGCACTCACCAGTGGGACTCCCACCCACACTCACTCACATCAAGTTCTCTGGTTGCATATGGGTAGGAGCAGTTGTTGCCTAATGCTAACAAGCCAGGTCTCACCCTCAGTGCAAACAAGAATCCTGAGAGTTTAAAAGAGATGTCTAGAGTCTCTGGAGACCAATTCAATCAGAATCTCAAAGGTTTTACCCACTTGGTTCTAATATACAAATCTCCAAGGTCTCCTTTAGCTGCACAAGCTTACAGCAAGCCTATACCATGCTCTAAGTCATGGTAGAATAAAAAAGCCTGGGTAGTATAGAGATTCCCATGTCACAGAAAGAAAAATACATAGTTGTCCCTATGCCTAAGACTTGGCCACTACTGACCATTCCAAAAGCTTCCAATTCCTTACTACCAGCAGTTTATGCTGAAATTAGCTAATATCCAAATCTGAGCCTTGATAGCTTTATCAGGCTATCAGGTTATCAAAGTGTCCTTTATCAGGACACTTGGCATTTTCTAAAAAGTAAGTAGTAAAAATCAGCCTCCTTCCCCCTACCCCCACTGAGTGAACTGCTTGCTCCCTCTTAAGAGGCAGCTGTTGAAATTGCCCTTAATCTGTACTTTGTATTTCTTTCTTTTGATAAGCACACATTTTTATTATAACACAATGATCTGTTTATATTTCCTTGCCTGAAGCTATAAAACCTTAACTGAACAGAAATCTCTGCCTCTTTTCCCAGCCACACCTGCCATACTAGGGACAAACATCTTTGTACTATTAAAAAAGACACATTCAGACAGGTTTTGAAATGTAAATCTATTTTTGTAACTTTTTTTGCAGAATATTGTCCTCTTTATGTAGCACTGATCTTTGTAAAGTATATTTTTAAGAAACTAATTTTTCTATTAAAGGAAGTACTTTAGAAAGAGTGCAATAGAATTAAAAATTGAAGTTGAAATCTTTGCTTATAAGGGTTAAACTAAAGCAGGAGAAGTCTTTCTTATAAGAAGGTACAGCCTCATTGCAGAGCTAAGTTGGGTCAACATGGTGAATAGAAGAAGCATCAATTCAATATTTATAAAATTAGAAAAGATAAAAAGCCCACTAACTTAGTGTTGATCTGAATCAGGTTCTGGTCAGTCTGTTAATAGAAAAGGATCACTGTAGGGATTACTATCTGTTATTACTACTAGAAGAATCCAAATGCATATTATACTCTGATCATCTGCCAATATGACCTTATAAATGTAACAAAAGCAATAATATAGCACTTTGGGGTTTATATATGCTAATCTGACTTAACACAAATTATTTTGATTTTATATTTACAATTGATATTCATTTATCAATACAGACTTAGAAGTATGTAGACAGCCATACAAATGTTCAACATGTTTATGAAATCTACTAAGAGTCTTATCATAACCAACCTAAAGAAGGTTCCCTGGCTACACCTTGAAATCACCTGGGGACCTTTCAAAACCCTTAAAACCCAGCTATATTTGAGACCAATTATACCATTCTCTATGAGTGAAACCCAGGCATTTGTACTTTTAAAAACTCCTAAAGTCATTCCAAATCACAGCCAAGGTTGAGAGCCATCAGAAGAGCCACAGGGACCTGGACTTGCAAGTAAATTCCACAGAGTGAGTGATTCCCAGGCCGAGAGAATTCTAAGACACAAAGATAGCATCTGTCACTGAGAATCAGGAACCTGGACAGAGTTCCCATGATGGCTGCCCATGCACTAGAGGGCAGAATGTCTAACCAGTGGAGAGAAAGCAAAGAAAATATAAAACAGACACCTATTTTTGTCATTTCCTAAGTCTGTCTCTCTATTAAAGGCCAACTGGTAGTAAAATAAAGGTGTAGTGACTATTCCTGCTG